GATCGCAAAATTCGCTTGACGCTCGCTTGATTTCCCACTTTCACAGCACAAATACACATCCAACAGCTTCCATCTTTGTTTCTATGTCAAGAACAGTGTTCACTTGTTATAAAAAACATTCTGTCTCTGTTCGTAACCGAGCTGTGTCACGCGAAATCACACAATGACTGACGAAATTCTCACGTTTGCGAACCTTGCCCAGTAATGTAAATGGCTGTCAGAATCAGGAAACACCTACCGGCGCTCTTCGTGACCTCATTCTTGCGCCGCAACGTTTTTGCAACGTTCCAATGGCGAGGCTCGTACGGCAGTTCGAAAGCAGTGCGCCGCCTGCCCGCCGCCTATAGCCCATAGACTGGCACTCGCTCCCACCTCTCGGCTTAGCTTAGTCACTCGATGGGTAATCGAGGTGGGAGTGAGTCCCAGTCTATATAGCCCTGTACTTGCAGCCATTTACATTACTGGGCAAGGTTAGCGAACGCGAGAATTTCGTCAGTCTTTGTGTGATTTCGCGTGACACAGCTCGGTTACGAACAGAGACAGTATGTTTTTATAACAAGTGAAGACTGTTCTTGACATAGAAACAAAGATGGCAGCTGTTGGATGTGTATTCGTGCTGTGAAAGTGTGAAATCAAGCAAGCGTCGAGCGAATTTTGCGATCCCGCTTTCCTACCTGCTATATATATAAGTGCAAGTGTGCAATACTGCAGCTGCGTGAAGAATGGCGGCAGTCAGTGTTTGTTGCACATAGGATTTGGACAGAATTTACAGGAAACTGTCGGCAATAATAGGTGAAAGAGAGTATAGAAACATTAAGAATTTGGTAGTAAATAGATTTCGTATTTAGTTAGCATTATATTTTATTGAAACGCTTCAAATGCCTGTGCTTATGAGACATGATGTGGGTGTTGTCACTATTCCAACTTTACAACTGTTTTCACTATCTGCCAGGGTTGATCTATTGCCAAACCTGTGTTGTGGTGGCTTTGTAGACATATGATAATATGTAACTCCTACATTTTAAATACTACAACTACCAGTATTTGATAGTACTATGCGTGCATTACATTTCCTGATTCAAATTTGGCATTTAGCCGCATTACATTTTCAAATCCAACACAATTTGAATGATGATTTCGGGTAATTACTTGAAGAGCAATTGCAAAATTATATAAATGAATTAATTCCAGTCTATCCAAACCTTTTTTCACAAGTTGATAGAGGTACACAATGACATCATTACTACTTCTAGAAGTTTAAATGTTTAAATATTCCACACAAAACAAGAAAACCCATGGCAGCAGCCATGAGACCGGTAGGGTTAGTGATACAAAACGGATGTCTCGCGCGTAGTTAATAGCAATTTCACGAAGATATCGGCATTTGATTTTAATATTCAGTTATAAATCATATATAGCCACAGGGTATGTAAGAAATATACAATTATACATTTTATCTTAAGATTTATTAATATTATTTTTTAAACCGTAACTATATTGTGCCACCAACCAAGATGTCTGCCTCCATGCCTCCATGCCTAAGAAGTCTTAGACATGATTTATTATACTATAAGACTGCTAAACATTCCCTATTCTTGTTACCAATTGTCATTCCTTGAAAGGAATGGTTAGTGTGAGAAGCTTATCTGCTTACGTAAACATATTTATAGGCCTACGGCCTAATTTGAGACGGAATTTGTGTAACTTCAAAAAAGAGGTACCACTGACAGTGACACAGACACTGAAAATGTGTTCATCCTCAGGAAGTAGTTGTGTAGGTCTCGTAGGAAGTTATGAAGAGTCACAGCTTCAGGAAATAGGTGTAACGTCCATAGAAAGCAATAGCGCCGCCCGTGAAGATGTCGCACCGCTAAAAAACGTGGAACCCATCTCTAAAAAGGTCTGAGCCGAAAGCCAAATTTGAATCACGCGTATATAAATGACATTGACGTCTTTAGTTTTAGTATATAATGATAATCATATGATGAACATATGATAATGTATTTAGAGAATCGCTAGAGAAACCCCTTCGAACATCGTCGTGTAACAACGGCAATGAATAGAGCATTGATTCCATACCATAGTTTGACAGAGTCTGGTATCAAAGTTACCTCACGTTTATGATCTATTAGTATTACTATTAGTATAATTTAGTAAATCATTACTAAATGTATGAACTGACAGATCCAATCTACTTTTCCATAGGCACGTAAGAGGCAACTCAGAAGACAGCGCATGGAAGAAGCGAAAAAGAGGAAAATAGAGAAGAAAGAGAAAAAGTGTGTTTTTGATGATGAAAAGTTTAGTGAAACTTCATATTATACTGAGAATGGTATGTTGCTATTGCATTTCGGGTGAGAAAAATACACTGCTACAAATATGATAATGATTACTGTGTTGTATTGTAGTTACAATATAATTGATACTGAATATATATGACTGTAATAAAATGGATACTGACTTACAGGTCTTCGAAAGGTATACCCATACAATTTCACATTTTCAACTTACGCAAAAGGCCGTTGGGTTGGCAAGAAGCTGTATGATGTGATGACAAAAGAATTTCGGTCATATACACCGGAACGTTATGTAGGTATACATGGTCCGCACGGGCATGGCAATGTCCTGGAATTTGATTCGACTCCTTGTAAACGCCTTGAATTTTAAAATATTGTGTTTTATACCAGAATTGTCCTGGAAAAGTTGTTATTGCCCTGGAAAAGTACTCAAAACTACTGGAATTTATAAAATAAGAAATTGCATTAAAAGCAAATCAAAAATAGCAGTTAAAGTTTATAAGATGTGCATGTTTTTAATCTCCTTAACCTCGTCATAATGAATACCTTTCACCGTTAACCTCTGTTTTTTTTCTGAATCAGAAGTTTTCATGTCCTCTATTCCATGTAATGTATCTTTTCAAGCAGTGCTAAGTCTGAAAACACTGAATTTTATGAAGTTAGGCTAAAATTTTAGTACTTGAAATTGTAAAAATTGTCCTTGAAATGTCCTGGGAAAACTCCTTGAATTTTGTCTTGACTTATCTGTATGGACCCTGTCTATATGATTCAACTGTACAATGAACATGGCTGTCATACTATGTTCATCAGCTGTAACCAGGAAAAACTGCTTATATACTCTGTTTCAAACTTTTAATTGAATTACATTGTCATCTCCAATACGATATTTAAGTATTTAATGTTTCAGCTACTGAATCCTTATTATTTGTTAATATCTAAATTGTTTATTATGAAGAAGAGGAATGCTGTTCTAATTTGACTTTTTATTATTTCATTGTTACATGTGTGGTGCAGGAAAGAAATATCAATAATGGAGCGATATTAATAAATGGAGAACCAACCACATTGGATCATCTATTAACAGATAAGGATCTTATATCCAACACAGTACATAGGTATGTGATTCTGTTTGTAACCCTGTCAAGTTTTTCTTCTGTAATGTGTGTACTACGAGACACCTTTTTACCGTTAATTGTAAACAACTGCATGTAATGCTGGGTAAATGAATGCTGATTAACATAGCTTCATATGAGAATTTAAAATTAAGCTTGACTGTTAAGCAAAACGTCAATTCATTGACCAATTCAAACAAGGTCATTATTATAGCATGGTGCCTATGGAGATGTGTGTGCATATGAGGCTCTCACTTATTGTTTATTTGCTAGGCATGAGTTGGCCGTTACTATGGACCCTATTGATATTCTGCATCTATCGGACGATCTATTGGTGATCGACAAACCTTCCTCAATTCCTGTGAGTGCTTCTATCTATAACAGCTGATTTTGTTACCTACCATGTAGCGAGGCTTGTTTTGACATAAATGTGCCCTGACGTGACAGTTATTAGGATCACGATATAGTAATGCACACTATTTCATGTGGCAGTAAAAGGACGGTATTTATGCAACATGAATGTTTCAGCGTTTACGTCATTATTTTATTCAGGTGCACCCATGCGGCAGATATCGACACAACTCTATCATTTTCATCCTGGGCAAACAGTACGGACTCAAAGAATTACGAAGTAAGTCACGCACACGGAGAGAATCGTTATCTCCCCCTCCTTCCCTGTCTCTCCCTTCTCACTCCCTCCCTCACTGTGTCTCTCCTTTCTCTCTCCCTCCCTCACTGTGTCTCTCCCTTCTCTCTCCCTCCCTCACTTTGTCTCTCCCTTCTCTCTCCCTCCCTCACTGTGTCTCTCCCTCCCTCTCTGTGTCTCTCCCATCTCTTTCCTCCCTTCTCTCTGTATGTGTCTCTCCTAAAATCTGTACTTGCCAGACGACAAGGTCTGCGGACGAACGTCGTGTCTAGGAAGATCGCTTCAACTTCCACAGCCATGTAGTTGGCACCAGGCGGTAACCTCGCAGTTGTAGTCGACATGCTTGCAAATGTCGTCTTGCTGTTTGTAGCGATTCACAGACTGGATCGGCTGACGTCTGGAGTGCTCATATTCGCGAGGGAGTGGCAGCGAGCCAACCAGATGACGAAGGAGCTCGTGAACAGGGATGTGGAAAAGACCTACGTCTGTCGCGTCGCGGGAAAATTCCCAGAGTGAGTCGTGAGGGGGATTCCCCGAACAAAGGGTCTTGCTCTTCACGGACGCAGCCCATTTGAGATAACAATGTTATTTAGCAGCTCGCGAACGTACGAGTTTCTATTGCAGACTAAACTTATCCATCTATCTTGGTTCATTTTTACTCAGCGGTGTTGATTCAAAACGTACTGCTGACGTTTCGCCTCCTATCAGGAGGCTTTCTCAGGGCTGACTGAAGTTATCAGTTTTGACCACCAGATGGTGTAGTGGTAAACAGCTTGGTCCACACGTGGTTCACTTATTTAATGAGTAAATGTAGCCGTTTACGATATTTGTGAGTGTCAATGCATTGTCAGACAACTTTCAGGCCCATTTCTCGATTGGTTTCTAATATCAATACTAGTTCAGTGTGTTCACTCCCTGTCGTTGTTGCTCTATCTGCAGTGGGATCATTACTGTTGACCAGCCGTTGGATTGCATCTCTCAGAAGATTGGCATATTCTGGGTGCAGCCGACCGGAAAGACGGCGCAGACCGACTTTGAACGACTGAGCTACAACGGAAAGACGAGCGTTGTGAGATGTAAGTTCACCCACTATGATAAAACCTGTGTTAGCAGGTAGCAGTAGGCTTCTCTGTGGCTAACGCTCCATTAGGAGTGTTCCCAACTTTGATATCATTAATGATCAATGATTAATGATTAATGATTGATAATCCTAACCCTAACCCTAACCCTAACCCTAACCTAACCTATAACATAACCCTAATCATTAATGACATTAAAGTTGGGAACACTCCTAATGGAGTATCACCCTTCTCTGTGGAGTGTCTCGAATATGCAGAATGCAAATGGCTGTGTTTCTGATACAGATAATATGAGGAGTGTCATGTTATAGACTCTATAACATAGTCTATATTATGACATTCCTGATAATGACTTGTCACTGCCAGCTTGCTGCAGAATAAAGCTAACCTAGCTAAACTATATAGTAGACTGTCGCAGACAAACCTATGTTAGTGGGCACCTCTATAAAATATACAGCCGTCTATAAATGACACTCTCAGAATTACCCCCTAAATGACAGTTATAACAGTGAAGACACCTGTATACAGTATAGAACAGATGCCTGACTATAAAGGACACTTTCAGCATTTACCCCTGATGGCCGAACCACCTATGTGGAACAGACTCTTGTCTATAAAGGACATTTTTGTGGTTTCCATTGAGCGACCTTCATGTCCAGGTTTGACTGTGATTAGCGTCGACTTTAGGTAGTTCCAGCCAACTGTAAATAGAAGATGCGTTCATCATTTCTTTTTCGCTTTATCCTCGTGACCAGGCTCCCCGCGCACAGGCAGGACGCACCAGATCCGAGTGCACCTGCAGTTCCTTGGCCACGCCATCATCAACGACCCCATCTACAACAGCGACGTGTGGGGCCCGAACGCAGGCCTCGGGGGCAAATACGACAAGACCAAGGACGAGGTAAAGACCTGGGGGTGGCACCTGGGAATGATGGGCGTGGTCGGAAATTGGCAGTACCTTTGTTCGCGCGCCAGATGGCCTAACGATCTGAGAGAGATAACCGTGCCTACATGGGAATTGTTTTACGGCCAGTCAGGCTAGACTAGTTTTTAGATATTTTTTTTCACGCGTGTGTTCTTTTACAACATGTTATTGCGATAATGATTTTCTAGCGATTATTAACTTGTAGAGTAGGCAGCTAGCATCGCGCAATTTCATCATCGCATATGGCGCGCTGGATGGCGACCGACCGTTCTATTGTTTCACACGCCACTCCGCGTCTACTCCGCAGATCATCAGAGACATGCTGATCGCACACGACAGGGATGCGTTTGCCGACGACCTTGACCCGGACAACGAGGTCGCGACCCTTGGTGGAGAGGTCACGACCCTGGATGGAGAGGTCGCAACCCCTGGGCTCGAGGTGCTTGCGAACGCCGCGGCGAGCGTTGGTGATTCCGCGCACCACAGCGCGATCCAAAAGCCGACGACTCCGCCACCATCACCGACGGCTGCTGGCGCGTACCCCACGCGCAGAGCCCCACCACCGTCCCCGCCAGCCGCCGCCGGCGCGTCCCCCACGCGCAGAGCCCCAAGCGGCGGCACGAGCCGGTGTGACTGGCGGCAGACGCTCGACCGGTACATCGCTGCTGCGGCGAGCGCACCGATCAGGACGATGCTAGAGGGCGCTGCCACACGGACGCCGGCGGCGTTCAACGCGGCGGGGGCGCCGGCGGACGACGGCTGTGACGAGTGCAGGCGCTCGTACCGCGACCCGGTGCCGAGCGAGCTGGTCATGTACCTGCACGCGCTCAGCTACAAGGTAAGGGACGGACGCACGCACGCACGCGCACGCACGCACGCACACGCATGCATGTACATGCTCGTACCGCGACCTGGGGCTCGTCATGTACCTGCACGCGCTCAGCTACAAGGTATACAGACACGGACACGCACGGACAGAAGCACGCACACGCACGCACGCACATGCTCATCATGTACCTACATGCGCTCAGCTACAAGGTACGGGACGGACTGACTCACGCACGCACACGCACGCATACACGCATGCATGTACATGCTCATACCGCGACCTGGTGCTCATCATGTACCTGCACGCGCTGAGTTACAAGGTATACAGACACACACACGCACGGACGGAAGCACACGCACGCACGCACATGCTCATCATGTACCTGCACGCGCTCAGCTACAAGGTACGGGACATACGGAGACGCGTACTCACCTATGCACGCACACATGCACGCACACATGCACGCACACAATCACGCACGCACGCACGCACGCATGGATGAACGCACGCATGCACAGATGCACGCACGCATGCACAGATGCACGCACACACGCACAGATGCAAGCACACACGCACAGATGCAAGCACACACGCACAGATGCACGCACACAAGAAATCACGCAGGAACACACGTACACACACACCTGTACACACATGCTCGCACACACGCATGTACAGATCGTTTTCATTTTTAGCTGAGAGCCCTTCTGGTGTTGATTGGGACTAACTTTTGCTTCACATATGCATCTCACAAAATGAATTTTCAGCTCGTATGTACCCTACGGAGGCAAGCAAAGAGTTGGGAACACCCAGTCTGATGTTGAAAACGTTTTTTAAATGAGAATTTAAACGTCCGTCATAAGCGTGCACCATCCCCACATTATAATGCACCATGGACGACTCGTTAGGTGTGCCACATGAATTATAAGTGTATCTGTTTCACATTGCGCAGGGTAAAGACTGGAGTTACTCAACAAAGATGCCAGAGTGGGCCAGTGAAGAATGGATTGCCACAGATCCAAGCGACGCTTCATGACCATTGACGTTAATTTTGTTGTGGTGATAATTTTATGCTCAGCGTGCCGTAACGATAGTAAAAACAATGTCGGTCGTGCGCTTTTGAAAATGTTGCCGTGCATACAGGGGAAATATGGAATTGCGATAAATAAAACAAAAACAATAAACATATAAAGATGTAATGCTTGTCTGTATTTTCTCGTGTTGCTGCATAGCAACGACAAAAAATACTTTATACGCGAGTCTCCTGACCCAGAATACATAAAGACCGATGCTATGATGATTACGAGACAATCGAAAAAGCACTATTTAGCGTGAACAACTGCCTTTACGCTAACATTGCGTCGAAACACGAGACTCTTCGGCAAGAAAGTTGCGGATCATTCGATTCACTGGTTTCACAATGTACACGTTGAGAACCAAAAAAAAAAGATGGCGAATCTGGATTATGCCCTCCTTGAGAATGCACCGATTGTACGCTCTGCATCATTACGCGCAGCAACTACTGACCGAGAATGTAACACGTTTACAATCTGGTTAATCGTGTTTAATCGGTACCGAAAAATCCTCCTTATCACAATAAATGTAAATAAATCGACGATATATACGCCGGACTTCATGCGTCGATGCTCGTGTAAGCGTTGGATGTAGCGAGATATATATATATATATATATAATTGTTGCGTGTACATACGCTGCGTGACTAGGGTTACACGGAGTAAACATACGTGCATGGCCTACGTGAAGAATAGAAACTGCTTCGTGAGATCTGTGCGGGTTGGCCGCGCCTGCAGTGGCAGCCACGCCTTCCACAGCTGTCCGCATGTGCAGAGCCAAAACGTGACCAACTGTGCGGTAAGAGATTGCATCCAAGCGTGCATCGAACACTGCATCGTAAATTTCAGAATGTGCGCAGGACCACCAAACACGATATGTATATAAAGCTACATAATAAATAACAAGCGTACGAATATAGCGACCGAATTTATATGCGTTGCACGTAAAGTAGGCCATTCCTTTTTTTAAATACTTTCGTCGAATCAAAAAAATACCCTTTTCAATTGCTAATAATTATTTACAATAAAGTAACTTGCAGTCTAACCAATATATACTCTATACCCTTGCACCTACTAGATAACAAGGGGAGATAAATATTTTGAGCACACAACGGTAACACCTAAAAACCATTTCATAGCTTCGGTCAATCTTAAGAATTTTACTCACGTAGCTTGAATATACCTTACTAATTAAAAGCCCTCAGCTACCTTATAACCTTACTGTACCTTCATTAAATTTCTGAGTTATGAACTGTAATTTGCTAAATACTAATAAGGCAAAATATCTATACTTTGGACCCCAAACTAAGAGAGAAAAATGACAAGATTGGACTGAAACTACATGGTTTTTTACGTTTCTTTTAGCACGCTCTAAAAATTGATCCATCCCTGACAATAATAATAGACTAATGCAGCTTTAACCAATTTTTATAAAGTTTACACCACAGCCGTCACAACACATTTTCTCATAAATCGTGCAGTAAATATCACACGTTCTTGAGTCTGTCACGCACAAAATGCACGCACGCCGTCCGAACGGAAAATTGTGCATGCATTATTTTAACAGAATTATAAAAAGTAACTGGCTTTCACAGTGGCTACTGAATGTATAGCTCCGAACGCGCGTGCATGCACCACACATGCTGTTCACAGAACCTTGTTCAGCTACGCAGCCTAATGTGAGAACTACATTACGTACATATATTTTCAAGTAGAGTACCTCAGCTTACCCGAATAAATAGTATGGGATCAGAGTATCACTTCATTTGCGTCTGTGTAAATGGGATGCACTGCCTTCATCGGCTGAAACTTAACACGTTATTCCCACTCAGTAGGAGCTGTAGCGGGGTTTTGACACGATGATTAGCTTGTCCGTCCTGCGATTACCTATTACAATGATCGTTAAACCTTCGTACGCACAAGCCAAACCTATTTCGTGCCACGATCACATCGTAACCTCGCTAGGCGGCTGCAAATTCCGATTCCCATGATTAAGAATTGTTGCCACAACAGGGCTACCAAGAGATAGAAAAAGCATCAGTGATCCAAAAAGCATTCAAAAGACACTGAATAGTTGTGCCGTATGAATCTGCAACCTAAGAGGTAAGCACGGGGAAAAAAACCCAATCTCTCCATCTCCAATCTCTTCCAACAGAAAGCGCAGTGCCTAGACAGGAAAGCTTTGGCGAAAGACAATAAACAGTTGCGCCGTACGAATCTGCAACCTAAGTGGAAAGCGCAAGCGAAAAAACCCAACCCCGATGACCCCACCAGCAGGGAAGCACAGATCCCTTCCGACGGGAAAGCGCAGCTTTCACGAGATGCGTTCCCGATCTCTAGGTCGACCCAAGGACAAAGGCCGAGAGACACGGTTGTTCGGACATCCGGTGGTTCGCGCGGCGAGTGTCTCTCCGCCTCCTTCCTCCTCCTCCTCCTCGCTACTCTACTTGCAGATTTCTCCCTCACCGTATCCGGACGACTACCCCCCGGACAATTACCCCCCGGACAATTACCCCCCTAGGGCAACTCCCACCCAGACAACTACCCCCCTAGTGTTAGGGTTAGGGTTGTCCTAGGGAGGTAGTTGTCCAGGGGGTAGTAGTCCTAGATTTCTCCCTCACTGGTTGGAGGATTTTTTCGGGGTTGACGCGAGGACGGCCGACCTTCTCTCCTGCGGTGTCAGCTGATCCGACTCGACAGACGCGCCCGGCTCTGAAACGGAGACAAGACGCTGCGGCGGTAAACTGCTTGCTTCCCGTCTCTGTGGTGACCTACTAGCTTTCCATCACCATGGTAACCTCGCTGACTCCACTACAAACTCTGCAGCGGTCACAAAACTCACTTCTGTTCTCTGTCGAGGATCCATCTCCATCTCCCTCCCCCACCTTCTCCCTTAGCACTCAGCAAAAAGAGATAGAGTGTGGAAACGGTGTTAAGAAGAGAGCCTGCACGCGCCGGCACCCGCCAGTAAAAACTGTGAATCTCTTCATACCCACTCAGGCCACAATTAAAAAAATATTTGTTTGCCCTCACCCGACCCAGGCTGAAAGGTTTGGGTAGGTACGTTGGCTTTTTTTTGATGGGGGTCTTTTTACAAATTCAGCATGGTGTCTACATGCTCGGGTGTGCTTGTGTGGCGATACCTTTTATGTTGAATGTTTGTTTTTCTTGGTACATATAATGTATTGCCTACAGATTTATATAATGTACAGTGATACAATTTGTAAAAAAAGAAAAGAATGGAAAAGATCAATAAAATCTTTTGAGTCGGCCCCTTTTTGGCGGGTCGGTCGGGTGAGGGCAAACAAACAATGTTTTTATCATGGCCCCAGTGGGCACACGAAAATTATTATATTTACCTTTCTCCTGGGACCATCTCCATCCCCCTCCCCCACCTTCCCCCCTGGACCATCTACTCCAGCTTACCCGTGGCTCCCGCCGGACCCTGTTTCTTCGTCAGTAGGCTGTTGAAGAAGTTGGCGAGCACCGTCTCACTGCCCGGCCCCGACACGGCTTTGCTAACGTCCACCTGAAGCAAAGAGCCATTCGCTTTACAACTCGTAGTCTCAATCTGGGCTCCCAAACACAACGACATTGTGCCCACATGAGGCACAGA